AATCGGCTATAAAGCAATCAAGCTGGTCAGGTCCAGAGAGCTGGAGGAACCTGCATGAACTTAACATAAAGTTGAACAAAGACGCAAAGCAGACTTTAAGGTATTTCTAGAGTAACCAAGACATAATACAAACTGCATATGGTAACTGGTACAAAAAGAGACCCCATCAGCTATAAGAGCTTAAATAAAAAGAGAGGAGCAAGAGACAGTACAGACATGAGATCAACGCAAGACATCATCAGTATGTGACCGTGATGGGACCACAACTCTCTATGTCCATGTACCTCCAGACCTGCAGTTTAATACGAATACATGTTAACCTCAAGACTAAGAAGCAGGTTTCACCATAGACTTGAAGGTGAACATGGTAAGAATTATTGTGGCAATATTTATACATTTTCCAACGTTTTAAAATATGCGCATAAAATAAAAAGCCTGGAGTCAAGACAAATTAAATAATCAAGAGAGTGATGGAGATTCACTGTTCACAGTAGATCATTAAAAGTCTACAGTGGTATACCTTGCCTAATTGTAAAGACAGTCAAGTACAGAGGTATAGTTTCAAGTCTCAGAATACAATACTGTGTAAATGCCACAGTATTGTATGCCGATACTTAATTTCCCGTTAAAACAGCCATTAATCACACAACACATTATTCATTTTTCAAAAATATATATTTAACAGAAAATTACACCAAAGCCTCAACAAATAAATAAAATATCAAATTTTATGTCCACTCTTTGCCTTTATTACAGCTTCCATTCTTTTTGGAAAACTTTTTTTCAGTTTTTGAAAGAATTCTGCAAGGATCTTTTTTCACTCCTTCAAAGTTCAGTCTTAGAAGTTGCATTTTCTGCTTCTTGTGATCCAAATAATCCTAAACACAGTCAGTGATGTTAAGGTCTGTTTGTCTTCTTCTTTATTATTATTTTTTTTTGTCTATTTCCATCTCAAAGAGTCTGATTTTCTCAACATGTTTTAAACAGTCCTGTTTCAGAAACTCATGTTTTTTCACTAATTTTCCTTTAACTTTCCTGTTTTATGCAAGTGGATTATCTTTTATCTAACCTGCCCAGAAATATCTCCTAAAAAATGAAGAACATGTACTTAATGGCTGTTTTAACTGGAAATTAAATGAAACGTGGTGTCTGTCTTTTGCACAGTACTGTATTTGAGTAATTTTTCCGGATTTTTGCCACATATCACACCAGAAAACTATTATTACTAATATTATAAGTCAGGGAGACCTGCTGGATTGTGCTTCTGAATAAAGAGCCCCTTTTGACAGGACTCTGTGCTCTCTCTCATTTGGGACTTGTTTAAACATTTGACGTGTTCCGTCATTCTTTTATAAAACGGCGCAATTGCTACGGAGCTCTAAAATAATGAGTCTTGTCGGCCACCCGCGCTTTATGGCACAGTGAAATTAATAGAAGTCACATTGCGCTGCGGTTTCACCACAAAGGGCTTGGCCAGCCCCAGCACACTGTTTCAAATTGTTTTCGAAAGAAAGCATTTGCACTTGTCATCTTTTCGCTCTGGTGTGGGAATTGCAGCATAGTCCTGACGGACTTTCATGTTGGATGTCACTTCAAGAGACTGAACTTTTTTTTTTCCAACCATTAGAATTCTTAAATTAAAAAGAAAGATGTTTTGCCTGCTTTACAATTACAGTCAAAGATGTGGAGAAAAAAATAACGCAAAGCACAAAACCTTTCTGAGCTTTGATTTCTTATGAAAGTACTGAGGAACTGATGAAACCAGAATTAGCAGGAAGTGAACACCTAACACAGCAGTCTACACACTTAAAAAGGGTTGCTAGGATGTGAGGTTTGTAACAATAGCCCCTTTTTGGTGCTATATAGAACATTTTCAGAAAGGTTCTATATAGAACCATTTCCAATCTATAAACAATCTCCATCAATTTGAAGAACCATTTCAACATGCAAACAAACTCTTTAAGCATGTGAATGGTTCTATATGTAACTCATGATTCTAAACAGAACCATTGCCTTTACTAAAGAACACTTGAAGAACCTTCTTTTTTAAGTGTGTAGGGTACTTTTTTTTTTTTAGTTTGATGGTTTAGCTGGTCGACCAGCATGACCACCTTAACAAGCTGGTTAACCAGCACAGGGCAGATTTTCCAGCTGGATGTCCAACTCAACCACCTTGACAATCATAGACCGGCTACCAGCAAAATGTCTTTCCTTATATATATATATATAACAACAACAACAACAACAACAACAATAATAATAATAACAGCCCATACAGGGATCATATATTGGCCCACTGGTTTGATAAGGTTGGCACCCTGCTGTCTGTTTGCCACTTCTGGTCCACCCTTGGACCATCCAGATTATTGTCCTGCACACAAATTCTACCTAGTTTTTAATCTGTTTTTAACAGATTCTAAATTCACAGAGCCTTTTATTTTAGAAAATTAACTAAGACAAATATTACAAAGAAAACAATAATGACTAGGCCTAATATAAAATTTTCTATAAGATTTATAGTCTGATAGTCTGCTTAAACACACGTGGGCCGCCCAGAAAACGCAGAGCAAAACACCAGTGGACTGCCAGCTTTGCCATCAGTGGGCCAACAGTGGCCCACTATCCTGTTGGTATCAGTGAATAATAATAATAATAATAATAATAATAATAATAATAATAATAATAATCTTTATCTTGCAAAATATCTAAAGCACTCAAACAATCCCACACTGCAGTAAGTAGTGCACAACTAAGGAGATACCCATAATGCAATGAGTAGTTTGTAAGTAATGAGCAAACCTGTATAACGTTAGTGTCCGAAATCCTTCACTACCATCACAAACTCTGTTCACTATAATAGTGTTCTATACAGTGATTTTCGAATAGGGGGGGCTTTTCAGCAAGGCTAATAAGCTCATCCACCTGCAGTGAGTGGCCTGTGTAGCCTAAACCTGTTACCGAAGCTACTCTGGGTTCCTTTTGACTTCCACCAATCAACAATTACTACAGCCATTATTAGGTGGCGTTGATCCAATCAGTCATCAGTTCACATACAAACACACACACAGTATCTCTCTCTCTCTCTCTCCTCCGTGCAGAGTCTCGAGCTTCTTCCACACTCGTTCCGCCCCCGTGTGGCTCAGACCGGACAGTCGCGTGCGCTGCCGGACTGGGTCATTCAGTCAGCGCTGGAAAAAACTGCCTGCAAGACAGAGAATGAACCCGCAGTTTAACCTACAGCCAACAGCGGAAATTCTCCCCAACAGGCTACACGCCACCTCTCAGCGCTGTAGAGTCTCTGTGCTCGAATGACATTAAGCTCACGTCTCCTCTGTTAAATATCCTCCAAATTCAGAGCTCAGACTGTTCAGCCCTGCGGAGCAGAGACTCAACATGAAGCTGGATTTAAAGGTTATCGAGCTAAGTGTTTACTAACCTGTGATATCACTCCCTAAACATAAAAGTTAGCTTCACTCTGCTAACATAAAAAGTTAAAAGTTCACCAGGACAGTACAGCTGGTCAGCAAAAGACAAAGGTTAAGCTAAATAAAAGCTCATGTGACAACATACTGTAGTTTAATAACGCTACGTGTTACCGTTATATGGTAAGTTTATTGTTTTAATGTGACTGAAAACGTCTTCAGACTCACCTGAGGTAACCACGTCACTTCCGGTAGCGACGAACGAACCTTTCTGTCCACAGCAGGCTGTCTTCATGTTAAAGGACCATTTCACCCAATTTTTAAATGCGTTTCTGTACAATTCAGTAGTTGAGATGTCAACAAAGTCACTCAGAGTGGTTTGATGTGAGAAACGTACAGACTCGTTTTTACAGAGGTGGTGGTAGGACAGTTTACTAACTCTTTCCATGAGTTCAATTTATGTCCCATTAGCTTTTTAAAAACAGTTGATTTTTTATTTACTTTAACTTAAAATAAAATTATTACATTATAACATTAAATTATTACAAAAACACTGACACTTCTTTATGAAATATATTCATTAAAGTTCTCCAGTGACACCATAATCACAATGTTATTTGGTTCATTTCTAAGCAATTTAATGTCATAGTAATGATTTTCCCTAAAAAATTATTTAACAAAACAGTTATTTTAACCTGTGTCCCACAAGCATGTTACCCAAAAAATGGAATATGCCATTTATTATGATTTATACAGAAAGTTGCATCATTACTGTATTGTTGCTTATTTTATATGAAAATATGATAATGAAAATGGCTTAAAAACGAAGATTAATGAAATGAAAACAATTTTCAACTTTCTTTTCTGCTCTGTGTTGTATAGTTTATATGCTTTTTTTTTTTTACTGTATTAATATCAGCTTAATGGAGGATTTGATGTCTGTGTTCAACCCTGTTACTGGGTCATTTATGGTGAAAACAGCTCACATAGTCTCTGATTTGACAGTCTAAGGTGCAGAATAACATTTTCTGAAGGTTAATCCTTTAAAAAATAAATTGTCAAAGAGTTTTGAGGCATAAAATGAACTTTCACATTCCAAATAACCTACACGTGTCTTTGAATTTATTGTACGCAACATTGATGCAATGGTAAACTAATGGTATCTAAAAAAAAATTAAGGGGCTATTTTGCCTCATAGTGACTTGCATGTACCTCCCAGTCATGACTATGTTTTTAACCATAGGCTTAAATTTGTAAAACTATCATGAAACAATGTCTCAGTCATCGGGCAACTTATTTATAACTATTTCATATGATGGCTTTCTGTGATGCAGCTTTTAGAGGCATTAAACTCTTAAGACATCTGGTTCCTATCACCACCACTGTGAACAGTTTTGACTTGGTAAGTTTCTGTGGAAAGTTTGTGTACATCTTAACCGTTTAATTATGCAGAATTAAAAAAACAGCAGAATTCGCCTTTAAGGTGCTGGAGCATCTCTCTTTAGACAGAGAAAGATCATGTCAACCTTAGTTTTTTCTTTTTTTTTTATTAATATAAATTTTTTATTACAAGTAATTTTATCTGGAAGAACTGTCACACAATGTGGTGGGAAAAAGGTCCTCATATGCCGGTGGAGAGGTGCTTTCTGAAGCTTCAGCTTTCTCTTCTTCCACTTCCTCACTTTGATTCTGTATCCTGTCGAGGAGATAAAATGTTAAGAAAAAGACATCAAGCTTACATTCAGCTTAAGTGTTTAATTTAGTGTTTAATATACTGTTTATTGAATCCATATAGACTAGTAGAAGCACAGGACGACGTTTTGCTCATAAATTAACAGATAGCAAATAATGAAATTTAACGTTGGTCCCTTAGTTGTTGCCAAAAAGCTACTGAAGGACAAACAGCAGCATGCTTTAAAGAAAACCAAGCATGAAAGATCATAACTTGGTTACATATTAACAGTTTCAGGAACAACTTGTGAATTGGGCTGAACCTAAATGACTCCTGATGACACATCTACAAGCAGACATAGTAAACAAAGCTTATTCAATTTAAATTTGATGCATATGAGGTTAGATAATGTTTCACCCTTTTCCATTATCCAACAACATGCTGATGTAGCCATCACTTTCAGCACAACAAAATGCAACAGTTATTTACCATTTCAGCATTTGTATTTCATGTACTTGGAGACAACTCAATAGCTGTCAGTATCACTGTGAATTCATTCCAGATGTGCATTTAAGGCCCTAGATCATATATTTGTCTTGTATTTTATTTCTTCCTTTCTACTTAGGATGATCCACTTATGAGGTTTATGTGGGTTTCCATACCAAAATCAGTTGTAATAATTTTTTTCATGACCATTTTCCAACCTCTCTTTATCCCTTAATTTTAAACAGCTTGCTTTTGTTACTGAGTCTTTAAGACGTATATGTAAATGACCTTGTAAAACCATGACAAGGCTGAAACTGGCTTTTGCAAAATTTTCTGTTCAATCTCAAAAGATGCAACAGTTACATTGCTGCTTATTCTTACTACTGTACAGGTGCCATACTGTAACAGCTGTGCCATTTAAGGTGGAATGGAACATTCAAATAAGAAGTAGGTAAGTAAGAAGCCAGCTTCAGCTTCATTAGACCGTGCATTGTGTGCACTTTAAGTGTGTAGTGGTGTGTATGAATGATGTGTTGAGTGCCGTTTAAAGATGCCGTTGTTGAAAGAGTCTCCTTCAGTGTTTTCAATACTCTATTGCTGTGCTTTTCTATGCATGCTATAATTTTTCTTTATATAAAAAGGGAAGTCATCTTGTTTTCGGGTAAATTTTTATACATATTAAAAATAAAAATCTACATAATTTTGGGGGTTGTGAACTTTGGACCCCTTAAAATTGGCTTGGCCACACAAAGGCCGCCCCTAGAAGTCTAAGAATCACTACCGTATAAAAATGCTTTGGTTTTTGTGACATCACAAAAACAATTCACTCAAAATAGCTTGTTTTTGCAATGTAGTCCCCATATATGGACTGTATGGACTGGGGAGTGAATGGTAATGTTGTATTTAAAGAAGTGAAAGAGATTTGGAACCCTTTAGCAAAGCAGGATTGTGGTGGTGGAAGATTCTAGATCAAACTGTCTATTTGCCTATAAGCATTTTAGACACAAACCTGCCAGATGCACCATACCTGGTTTCCCTCGTATATGCCGTTTGCTCCTGTGTTTCATTATCATCCGAGAAAGCAGGGTTATCCATTGGGTATACACTGTAATACTGTGGTGGTGCACTCACTGTGACAGCTAGTGGCTGTTGGCTGGACTGAAATCTATTAATAGGGGTCAAGCTTCTGTCCTGTACCACCGAGGTATATGGTGGTGGGATATACTGCACCACCGTGGCCCTGTGGAAAGTGATTGGTTGATTGATGCCGGAGAAGACGAAAGATGGTCCTGCCAGAGGTGGCAGGTCTATCTCAGGCACTCCTTCGTCGCTTGGCACCTTGCAGGCTTGGCAGGAGAACATTCGAAACTTGCAGATGCTGATGAGCACGAATGTGCCACCCACAGATAGCAGGACTGGCCCGAGCAGTTGAGTCCACTCAAAGCTGGTACTGACCTCATAGTTGATCCAGCCCATGGCGGTGAACGTCATGCCTACCAGACTCAAGAAGATACCAGAGAAGAGCAGCGTGGCTCCCGCTTTGTCTCCATCCGACACCTGGCTGTCCGGGCCGCTGGGTGGCTGGGCAGGCATCCCCGAAACCACATTCATGGAAAAATCATCAGAGCTTTGTCTGGTGGTTTGGGTGACGCTACTGACATCAGTGCCGTTAGATTCAGACAGGCTGGCACCAGAGCTGGCCTCCTGAGGCTGACCTCCAGTTACGTTCTTCCAAAGATCTCGCACACTGTAGCGCTTCATGTGTCCAAATAGTTTGTCCACTTGCAGCAGTGACTGAAGGATCCTTGAAAGCCTTTCCTTGTTTTGACACCAGCTTATGTCCTATGTGCTCATTTCAAGACATTGGTTTTTAGAGCTTTGGTTAATGGTTAAAAGGTATTTTGACCTTGCGCAGGAGCTTGGAGTAGCACCTAGTCGTTATTGAGAGATCAGTGACATGTTAAATCTCTGGACATGAGTTTAAATCGACAGGCTTGAGTTACAAAGACCACAATACTTGTAAAAGCAGCTTATTTTCAGTCTTGGCATAGTAAAAAGGACGTTCTTCAGATTACTTTATTGTTCAGAGTGTTTTTTAAGTGGTGCATTGTAGAGAAGCTTACTGACTCTGGTTTCTTTACAGTGGTGGTGATAGGAACCAGAGGTTGAGATAACAGCAACACAAATATTGCCATTTTATTCACTATCCAAAGCAAATAGTGAACCTACATATCTGAGTTTTTTATGCAATGTTAATGATTTTAAAATAGAAAAACAAAAGTTTTCTTTGAGGACTACTTTGTCTTACACTGCCATACAGTTACCTCCAATATGAATGTGTTTTAGGCCAAAACCTTGTTTAAAAACTATAGCAAAACAATGTCAGGCATCTGGCTTAATATTTGTAACCATTTTGTGTAATAACTTTCTATCAGGTAGCTTTTTGAGGCATTAAGACTTCAGACATCTGGTCCCTTCACCACCACTGTGAGCAATTCTGTCTCTGTAAGTTTCTTTAGAATTTCATTTCAGACAACTCTGAATGATTGTTTACATCTAAATGGCTTGATTATGGAGAAATCTTGAAAAATTGATGGAATTCCCCTTCAATAAAGATTCACAGTACAATATATATTGCAATTTTTTCTTTATAGCATGTTACACAAGCCGTTCACCAGTTTCAACCGAGAACAGACTATTAAGGCTTTTCCAGACAATGGATGAAAGCCAGTTAGCATTTGTTCATATCCACAGTGTCTGTCACTGCTAATGATAAATCACTTTGGGCCTCATTCACCAATATTTTTTCTTGAATTTGTTCTTGAGAAAGGTCCTAACAAAAAGTCAGATTCAGATATACCGCAGAATTGTTCACACCTTTATGCTTTTGAGTGTGAATAGCTTCTGTTCTTACCTAAGAACAAATCCCAAATAAGAACACATTGGTGAATGTCAGAATCTTTGTGAAAACTGCGTAAGTGGGTTTTAAAAATGAATTTCTTCATAAGAACAGTTGGTGAATGAGGCCCTTTATTATACCCAATTTTCCTTTAAACAAAAACAGGCCCTAATTGTGAACATATCCCATAGTATCAAGTTGAGAACATCTCAGTGTCGTCACAAAGGGCAAGCCAAATGCATTTTTTATGTAAACATTGTGTGCGAGTCCACCCAAATTGCACTAGCTATTAGAGTGATTGCAAAGAATTGTCTGAATAATTGAGAGTGATTCATTTCACTTGTGAGCAATTGAAGAATATTTGATATGTTGTTATCTCAGATCTCTTTGGTTGGATATTGAATATGTGAGGCACTCATTACCCAATGCCTCGTTACACTTGGACGCATGCAAAAGCTAAGTAGAGTTTGAGGGGAGAGTGAAAGCAGTGCAGGGAGCGCGCACGCACGGTCTGTCCACCAAAGAGTCAAAAGCTGGAGACGCATGCACGCACGCTCTCGTGAAACGCAAGCCACAATCCACCTTGTCAAACATAATTTGACACCGTCGCTTCTTAAAACACAGGGTTATACATTACTTATCACCATGAAGTCATACAATCATTCTCACACGTTAGGCAGAGAGCCCTGATCAGAGATCTCGCAGTAATGTGTCAGGAGCAAATGCGTGTTGTGTGACAATGAACAGAGTGAAAGAGAGGATACATCTTCCCTGAAAAAAAGACAGCCATGACACCTTGTCAGTTTTGGAGCTTTGGCTGCTTTTAGGATTAGTGACTGGGCTACTGGGGCCATTGCCTAGGGACCTCTCAATGCCAAGGGCCGTGGAGAACCTCAGACCACTGCAGATTGTCCCAACATTAGACACTTGTTATTTAATGTACTTTTACCAGTGCATATATTCACTTTAGATTTACACACACTGTCTTTTCATAGAGGAAAAAGTAATTCATACATCACAAATTAATACCATTAGCTCTTTGTTGCAAAGCCATTGTTGGCAATAACAGCTTTGAGACGTCTACGGTAAGAAGTTATTAGCTTTTTCCAGCACTGTGGTTCAATTCTGGCCCATTCCTCTTGGCAAAACATCTTAAAGCCCCCGAGGCTCACTCTGATACATTTTAATTGGGATTCAAGTCAGCACATTTTGGCTGTATGCTGGGGTCACTGTCTTGTTTAGAGTCTTGACCTTCTCCCTAGATTTAAGTCTCCTCTTTGTCCTGGTATAACGTTAGATTCAGGTTTCCTTTGATCACATAAAATGCCCCAGTACCAGTTGTAGACAAACAGCCCCAAATCATGATGCTCCCACCTCCATACTTCACTGTGTCTGTGGTATTCTTGGGATCATACATGCAACCTGTCTTTCTCCAAACATGGCAATCTGAATTATTGTCCAAGAGTTCTATTTTTGATTGTCTGACCACAATACATTGTTCCAAAAGAGAGGATTTGTCAAAATGCTTGTGTGCAAATTTTAGACGTGCGTCTTGTGTGGGGTGTAGGAACGGAGATGATTGCAATGCAGCTCATTGCTTATTGTTCTTGGTGTAACTGTTGTTTCTGCTGGCTTCTCTTTCACCTTCCTTATCATTAGTCTGAGAGCACATTATGAGATCTTGTGTGGTGTATCTGTCCAGGGACAATTAGTTGTGGTTTCATGAACTTTCCACTTGCATATTACTGAACCAGTTTTACTGACAGGGATGTCAGGTCTTTGCTATGGATCTACAACTTTTTCCTTTTGAGTGTTGTTTAATAATGTCTCAGAGAACTTTAGGAAGCTTCTCCACCTTCACTATGGTTGCAACTTGTTGTGTGAATACTTTTATTCCATTTTAATTTCATCTTCTAAACATATGTTTGCTTATGCTGTTGAATACACACTTTTCTATACATCGCTGTTGTCAGAAGAAAGCCTTGTATCTCCAAAGTGGTAACTTTACAGAAGAAGGAAAAAACCTACTTTACTTTTAATGTAAGTCAATGGATCCTGACTTTTTTGCAAGTCATTTTGGGCCATTTCTTTTGGTCCATTTATCATGAAATTAATGCACAGCGTAAAGGGCAACAGGCATTTTCAAATTATGCCAAAAACTGAAAAATGCAAAAAATGGAGATACAAGGTTTTCTTCCAACAGCTCCTCACTGTATTGTTGTTGCTTTTCAAATGCAATATTAGCATTTACTTACCCATGCATGTAGGACTAGACAACCAAAGGAAAGCTGTAACAACATCAACAGAATAGTATAATGTAACTTGATGAGGCTCATTTTGTTTAGTTAAAAAATTACCGATCAAAATGGACATAAAAACTAATGTGAAATATTGTTTAATCTCACTTTTCCTCTTTTTTATGCATTACTATTGGAGTGTGGGGGCCTCCAAAGACTCTTGTACCCAGGGGCCTCGCAAGACCATGATCCGCATCCGCGTTTGAACTTTAATCCAGAGGAGTCCATGGATCAGCCATGAACATGACACGTAACTTATTAAGAACAATCCCTCTTTTACCAAACTGTCCTGAACCCGTAGTCATGCAACATCCCAGAATAAAGAGTGCTTATTCATAGTGATCCAAGATCAGCAATCCCACTCTCAGAATGGTCACATACTATTATACATTACCTCTGTTCTTCATTGCCAGACCAGAACTGGTTTCTGCTAATCCTATTGTAAGAGTTTTGGCAACAAACTGACAAGCGCTAGCCGTCTTCCTCGGTAACCTAACTCCAAGAGGTCTCCTTGCCCATAGAGTCGTGTTTGTTTTGTGGTGTGAAGTAAAAAAAAAAGAAAAAAAAGACACCTTTGATCATGAATAATTCATGTGCAAAAGTAAACATGCAAGCATGTTTTCCTGCTGCATGTTGAAGCAGTCTGCTCATCTCCCAGGAGACGCTAACTCACATTAAAAAGCCCATAGAGTGTGAATGGAGTGGAAGAGGCCTGCCAGCGTGTCATCACGCATGACTGTTAAAAACTTGGGACAGCAGAAGATAGAGAAGGAGTCATACATACACAATTAAAGATCGAATGGCATGCACCTCAGCAGACGCATTATAGTCTTTAAGACACGCACAGCCACTTACAATGGCAGATGAAAAAACTCAGCACGCTCTGGCTGATAAGATCGAATTACTTCTCATCGCTCTCTGAGAGCAAGTGAGGTCCAGAACTGCTTACATTCTCCACAGCTGTGTGCATTTTAAACAGCTTCTTAAGGAATGGGAAGTCACCTGAGAGACATTTGCGAAGAGAACGGACCCGGGCATGCCAATGTTTAGAATCAGCCCAGATTCTGGGGTTGACACACTCTTTCAATTAGGCCAAGTCCAAATATTTATGAGAGGAACATTTCCTCTCCACTCTGTGATCATGGATGGTGTGCGTGTGTATCTGTATGTGTATGTGTATAAGATGGGTCTGTCTGTGTCGTCTGATGGTGTTTGATGTGTGGTTCATACAGAGGTAGCACACACTGTTGGAATCATTCATCTCTTTGTAGACTCTGTACTCGGAGCAAAGCTGAACTTTGTGCTTTGAAATTTTCCATTGCAATTTTTGAACCCCTGCTAGTGGCTACGTTCATCAAACCGCTGTATAAAGGTTTAAAAGTCCAGTCCTATAGTATATAGCCTTAATTTAAATTTTGCTGCACCATGAAACTACTGTTAGGCACTCCATTGGGAAAGGCCAATAAAGAAGTCTAATTTAGGCATGAGGAGTTGCGTTTGTGTGGTGTCAGAAGTAAGAAACAAGGAAGGTGTGGTACTTCTCTCCAGTTCTGATCTGGCCAGTCCAACTTACTAACCAGCTCTCCCCCTAACACATGATTCTAACAAGCTTGGAGGGTGAAGGCTAGCATGTGCTTCATCCACATGTTTTCAAACTG